TAACCGAAGAAGATGAGGAGGTCATACAGCCACTTGCCGAGGAGGAAAACGAGAGCTCACCAGGGGGCATTGAGGCCGAAATCTCCTTCAATGCAATTCTGGGTAAGTCTTCGGCGTCCACCATGAAGCTTAAGGGGTCGGTGAAAGGACGAAGCGTTCTGATTCTAGTGGACAGTGGATCCACCCATAACTTCATATCGGAGGCGTTGGTTGCTGAATTGAGCTTACCTGTCCAGAATGTTCAAATGTTTGGAGTGCAAATTGGAAATGGTAGTACCGTTAAATGTCACCGTTTATGTCCAAGCCTTGAGGTAAAAGTCTCTGATTTAATCATCAAACAGGACTTCTTCCCCTTCTCTCTCGGCGGCACTGACTTGGTGTTGGGAATCAAGTGGTTAGCATCACTGAATACCATTGAGGCCAACTGGAATAAAATGTTCATGATTTTCTGCATAGATGGAAGAAAATACAAGTTACAAGGTGTTATTCCTGAAACCAACGCTCCAGTACGACTTCAAAGCTTAGTGTTAACACACGAAGTGGAGAAGGAAGGGTGTGGTACCATGATTGCGCAGGCCATTTTTGATGAATTTGGTACGGTATTCGCAGAACCCAGATCATTACCACCAGCTCGTGGGCAGTATCATGCTATAACTTTACTTCCAAATTCATCTCCTCCCAACTTGAGGCCGTACCGGTACCCTCACTCCCAAAAAGATGAAATAGAGGCCCAGATTTCCGATTTAATGAGCCGTGGGTTTATCAGACCCAGCTCCAGCCCGTTTGCTAGCCCGGTGTTGCTGGTGAGTAAAAAGGATGGCTCTTGGCGCCTATGCATCGATTATAGACGTCTCAATCAGATTACCATACCAGATAAGTATCCAATTCCTAACATTGATGAGTTGCTGGATGAACTACATGGGGTAGCTTATTTCTCAAAAATTGATTTACGTTCTGGGTATCATCAAATCCTTATGCTGCCATCTGATATTCACAAGACTGCTTTTCGGACTCACTCAGGGCACTATGAATTTGTAGTAATGCCTTTTGGGCTTACTAATGCCCCAGCTACATTCCAATCTATTATGAATGACTTGTTTAGACCATTCTTGAGAAAATTTGTGCTTGTATTTTTTGATGATATACTGGTATATAGTGCATCTGCTCAACAACATTTGGAGCACCTCCGCATTGTGTTTCAGGTTTTGCAGCAACACTCCTTCTTCGCCAACGCAAAAAAATGTTCAATTGGGCAGACCAGAATTGACTATTTGGGCCACATTGTGTCAAATAAAGGAGTGGAAGTCATACCAGAAAAAGTGGCAGCTGTGATAGACTGGCCAGTTCCAAAAAATGTCAAGGAGCTGCGTGGTTTTCTAGGCCTCACCGGGTACTATAGACGGTTTGTGAAGAACTATGGCCTATTCGCTCGACCCTTGACTGATTTGACGAAAAAAGATGCCTTTGAATGGTCAGATCGAGCTCAAGATGCATTTGACAAATTAAAAGTTGCATTGACCACTACACCGGTGTTGAGGCTGCCTAATTTTCAACTCCCTTTTACTGTGGAATGTGATGCATCAATGGAAGGAGTAGGGGCTGTCTTAATACAAGAAGGACATCCTATTGCCTATTTTAGCAAAGGATTCTCCTTCTCAAACCGATTCAAGTCAGCTTATGACAGAGAGCTTCTGGCACTGGTGCTAGCAGTCCAAAAGTGGCGCCACTATTTATTAGGCCATCATTTCCTTGTGCAGACTGACCATCACAGCCTTAAGCATCTCCTAGATCAGCGGACATTAAACACTTCTCAGCAAAGACTTCTAATTAAGCTCCTCCCCTTTGATTTTACCATTAATTATAAATCAGGGAAGGACAATACAGCTGCTGACTCACTCTCACGAAGGCCTCAATCTTCAGAATTCTTACAGCTAGTCATCCCTATGGTGGATGACCTGAATCAACTGCCACAAGTCTTGATGGAGGACTCAGAAACTAAGGCAATTATTGATGGTTTGCAACAGAATCCAACTCCACTTTCCCCATACAGCATGGTCAATGGCAGATTATATTATAAAGCCCGCCTAGTCATACCTAGTCAAGGTGGTTTAAGGACCAAATTGCTGGAGGAAGCCCACACCACCCCAACCGGAGGCCACAGTGGATATTTAAAGACTCTGAAAAGGCTGGGAGCACATCTCTATTGGAAAGGAATGAAGGGCGATGTAAAACACTACATCCAAGAGTGTTCTACTTGTCAACAAAACAAATATCAAACGCTTGCACCCGCGGGCCTATTACAACCTCTTCTGATTCCTGAACGCATTTGGGAGGATATATCTTTGGATTTCATCACAGGGCTTCCAAAATCCAGAGGCTTTGACGTGATTCTTGTTGTGGTTGACCGCCTTAGTAAGTATGCACATTTTATTGCTTTGTCTCATCCCTACTCTGCTAAAACAGTGGCTGGTCTGTTTTGCCAAGAAATAGTTCGGTTGCATGGCATGCCTCGGTCCATAGTTTCTGATCGTGACCCTCTCTTTCTGAGTAATTTTTGGCAAGAACTTTTTCGTTTAAGCCAAACCCGCTTGAACATGAGCACTGCCTATCACCCACAAACAGATGGGCAAACTGAGGTGGTAAATCGTTGCTTGGAGGCTTATTTGAGGTGTTTTACTCACGAGCAACCAAGGATATGGAGCAAATTCCTTTGCTGGGCAGAGTTTTCTTTTAATACTAGTTTCCATGTATCAGCTCAGAATACTCCATTCACACTAGTATATGGGAGAGAGCCCCCACCACTTGTTCCTTATGTCAAAGGGGAAACGCTGGTTGCAGATCTGGAAGAACAGCTAGAGTTAAGAGATGACATGCTCAAGATTTTGAGAGAAAACTTGTTAAAAGCTCAAAACCGCATGAAGCTACAAGCTGATCACCATCGTAGGGACCTCCAGTTTGCACCAGGGGATATCGTTTGGTTGCGCCTCTAGCCTTATCGACAGAAAAGTCTAACCAAACGAAGGTTTGAAAAACTGTCTCCAAGGTTTTTTGGGCCCTATAAAATAATTCAGCGTGTGGGTCAAGTGTCCTATGAATTAGAACTCCCTTCAGATGCCAAGATTCATCCCATTTTTCATGTATCACTCCTCCGCCCAGCTTATGGCCAAGTGCCACCTCCCAATCCAAATCCACTTCCTCTATCTGCTGACATGGAATTGCTACTTACTCCTATGAAAGTGCTGAATCATCGCTAGGTAAATGATAGCAAGCTGGAATTACTTGTTCACTGGGAGAACCGTTCCACAGAAGACTCCACTTGGGAAGACTATGATTCTTTTTCTACTCAATTTCCTGATTTTCGACTTGAGGACAAGTCGTTTTTCCAAAGGGGGGGTAATGATAAGATACTCGACAAATTCAGATTGACTTATTCAAGAAAGGGAAAACGTGGCCGAGAGAAGTTAGCTTGAGTAGCGATTTACATGCTTTTTATTTTAATATTTCCCTGTTTTTTCTGTTGGCATATTTTTCAGTTGAGAAATAATTGGGATAGCCCTCTTGAACGTTAGGATTAGTTTCTGATTTATCGCTGATTATTATCTTTAGATTTTCATCTGATTTTCTCTCTGTAATTTATTATAAAAAGGCTATTTGGCCACATGAATAAGAACGACAATTTCTTAGAAAGTATATTTCCATTGGAGATTCTCCATCGGTCCTTTAGAGAGAGTGCTGTGAGATACTTGCCATCCTTTCTATTGGAATTCTTGGCTGTTACTTTACCTTCTAATTATTTCAGTGAGATTCGGTCCCTATCAGAGACGGTTCTGAGCTACATGTTCATGCATATTTAGCGTTTAGGTGTCATGTGAGCTACATGTTCATGCATATTTAGCGTTTAGGTGTCATGCTGCTATACAACTAGTATTTTTTATTGCTACTTTTATGGGTTTTTTCAGGCAGATGCCGAGAAACTGTTGATACAGAAGATCATAAGCCTAGGTTACACCAAGTCAAGAATGGAAGGGAAATCCTTTTAGTATACGCTGCGATGACGAGTTGGGTTTAATAAGCATTCATCCCAAAGATTGGGCAGCGTTTTCGTGCACACTTTTAGTTCTGAAAACCATACTGAAGCGATGGATAGTGTTATGGTTTTCTCTTTAGGGTGTGTTTGGATAGAAACCAAACCATGGTTTCAGAAGTGCTTTTACGGATTACGAAGTAAATATGTGGAGGAGATTATCTCGTTTTGCGGAAAAGTGCTTCTGAAACCACGGTTTGGGGATGCCCAAACAGGCCCTTAGTCTCAAACCCCCCCCCCCAAAAAAAAAACAAGAAAAACATTTGGAGCTACTAGCCCCAAGACATTTGGCACTGGCAACTAATTTGTCACTTATCCATTGGATTTGAAATTTTTTTAGTGCAACTAATTTTACTGGGTTGTTTTCTTGAAAATACAGTTATCTAATCGTTAGGTGTCCTGCAAAGAGGATAGCTGACTTTGAATTCTATGCCAATGTATGGGATTTATTATGATAAACCATACATTGTATTCCTTTAATAATATGGCTCGCCTAGGACAATGCAGATTTACTCTATTGACTATTAATCAATAACGTCTTTAATAATATGGCTCACCTAGCATTTGCAACTAGCATGTGAAGTATTGACCCTGAGGCATGCGAAGGACGCGGCGCACTTCTGAGTAATTAAAATTCTCTTTTGCTAATTGCCGCTGCGCGTAACTTCCAACAGCAGCACTCCACTTCATGCATTTTGGTGTGGCTGTGATGGACTGTAGAGTTCTTACCATTATCATAATTGTAAATAAATTGTGAACTTCATTGAGATTACATTGAATAATAATTTACATGAGGGATTCTGGTGTCCAGTCGGACAAGTTTTTAGGTACACGTTGGCGTAGATATTTGAAATTGAATCTACATCTTGAGGACTAAACCCAAACCAAACTCCCTCAACACTAGACAACCATGTTGTAGTTTGTCAAGTCATAAGAGTTCGCTTTATTTACCAAATTGAATTCAAATACTTACAACAAGGATGACCGATCAGGCAACTAAACTAGCCAAATGTTTTCTCACTGCTGTAACACATGTAGAGAAATCCGTCATCATCCTTGTAAGCCTTGTAGACGGCATCCATGAGATTTGCTGTAATGAAGAGCCATGTAGATGACATGTTAGCACGACGAATGAAGAAAAAAAAGACTGATGAATCTGACAAGATTTAATGAAAAGATGCATTTACCAGTCTGAGGTAATGTGTTCTTGACAAATATAAACAATGCCTTCCCAGGAGGCAAATGTAGCCTGCTACTCAATATGTGTATGAATTGCCCAATAGACATGTCTCGAGGAACCAAATATCTACAGAAGGCAATGCATAAAAGAGATCAGGCCCTCCAACACAAAGGGGTGCTTAAACATATCAATAATCCAGTACATAATTTGAAACCTACTAAATGCATCATCACCAATCTCTAATACACCCCTAAAAAAAAGGTTTCAAGGGAATTAGGAGAACATGTTCTGGAATTATGGAAGAAAGAAAACTCAGGAAAAAGAAAGATCTATTTCAGATGATACTAGCAAATATTAGCCTGTAGCTTTGTACATGATTGATAAATGGACTGAATTGAAGCATACGCAAGTAACTGTTATGTTAATGCAAGTTATTAATTTAGCAGAACAAATACTGTCCTCCCAGAATATAAAGTCAACCATACAGCTAGAACCTACTTCTTCTTGTCCAATTCAGGCAGGTCTGTTCTAGAATACTTCTCAATTACTACCTGCAAGACATCCCACACGAAGAAAAATCAAAAGACTGCTCAAGGGTTGCTTTCATTCATATCGCATGATAAAAGTCAGAATTGTTTGTTCCAATCGCGCCCTTTTTAAATAATCATGATGCATAATATGCAAAACTTAGATCCATTATTGAATAATATTTTACTTTCCGTTTTTTAATGTCCTTAAGGAGGTTCACTCGCACCAAACACCGCCAAAGACTGCCAGCTGTTAAGATGTATAATAAAAATATAGGAAGAGGCTAGAAAGTGGGATGGAAAACGTTGAAATCAATCATTTTGGACAGCACTGCCGACACAAATTACCGGGAGAGAATTGAATATTATATTGGGAAAATGGGAATTATCGACTACCACCAAACAAGAAAACCGAAGATGAACTATTGTCCGGAAAAATACGAATTCAATTCGCTGAACATCAAACAAGAAAAGAGTCGTGAGTTATGAAAATTCTTACAGGTACTCGATCCGGATATTTTGCCGCGATACTCTGTGACTCCTTCAGACGTTCCTCTGCACCGAAAACAAGACAAATCAAACACGTAAATAATAATGCAAGATAATTGTACAGATTCGACAGAGAAAGCAAAACAGATTGGACAAAAACAAAAACAAAAACATAAAAAACAAAGAAGAAGAAGAAATTCATATTGTAAATGAAAACTCACCGAAAGTGTACTCATCCTTGAAGCACTTAATCTTCCCCATGTAAACCTTCCTGAACTCGGAGAAAGATGGAAAATGAGAGAAACTAATCCAAAAACGAGAGAAAGCTTTTCCAGAGAAAAACGAGCTGAGAATTGGGAGAAACTTTGACGGGGCTGACAACCTGGATTTATAAACGGAAATGAAACACTTTTCGTTTACGCAAGCGATTTTCTGGTTGCGTCCTTCCTCAGTTTTCTGTTTGGATAAAACAAAACAAGTCTTTGAACAATACCACACGTTAAGAACCGAACCAAAGGCCCGATGAAAGCCCATGTGGCTGTACAATTATGGGCCGACCCAATCTTCCCATGGTGGGCCGGTACTATTTCTTCAAGCTATGAATGGGCCCTCCTTCTCCCAGTGGTGGTTGGTGGTGACTTTTTTTTTTTTTTTGGTGATACAGTAGGAGCAAAATAAATTACATAAGGACTCTGCGAGGGAATTCCACCCCAGCACAGTCCTCTTTCAGAATCTCAATTACTTCACACGGTGGAGTGGACCATTCCTGCCTTCGGACTCTAATACTTCCACTCAGTGGTGACTATTTTGCTCACACGATGAGCAATAGTTTAGCTGCACGGTTAGGTGAGTTGTGACATAATAAAAATTATTTAAATGAGATCATAATTAAGGTAGGCCCAATAAAATGGACATAATTTTTGTATTGAGCCCACTCGATGGTATGTGTTACACAAGGATCCAATAAACGAGCCCCATCTTGTTTGTCGTTTTACGTGCGTTGGTGATGCGTGGTAGGTCACAATCGACTCCTACGACATCAAGGATCTGCTCCATGGCCCACTCTCAAATTACACTGGTCACTGCAAAAATTTTGCACACAAATTTTTCATATCTAATAATAATAATTGGACAGATCATAGGTATCACGCGTAATTCAAAACGTAAATGATTTTATTTGTCTTTTAAAATTTACCGCTGAGTTTTATAGATTTTATAACAGGGAAAATTCCAGGAGAAGAATCCTGAAATTATCATTTTTCAATTCAAACACATAAGAGTTGAAAATAATAGGAAAAAAAGTGGTGTTTAATCTAGTATTTTACGATATAGTTAAATGACTAAAATGTCTTTATATCAAAAAGTTTATTAACAAGTTTTGAATTGACAATAATAAGTGTTGAATGGCAAATGACAGGAAATTTTTTGACAATGACAAGTTTGACAGCATTTTTCTGAATATGATACAAGAGCATTTTGGTCATTTAACTATATTTACAAAATACCGGATCAAGTACCACTTCCTTCTTTTTCATTTTCAACTCTTAGATGCTCGATTTGGAATATTACATTCTCCAACTTCTTTATTTGCAATTTTCCCTTTATAATATAATGTTTATAATTTTCCAAGAAATAGATGATAAGTCATGTTGAAAACATGTGTGATAAGCATATAATTTTGTGTAAACCATATATCTGTGGATTGGAAAATTTGTCAATAAAGTGTATAAAAAGATTTGTATGTGAACATGATTTTAATGGAAGTTTCAGGAGGCATTCCAATTTTCAATTAACTAAAACATTATTGTGGGGTTGGTGGTGTTTGGTTATATGGTTGGCTTTATTAAGCACCCATTATGCTGATATTTAATTGTGGGGATGTTTAATGCGCTTGCGCTGAGGAAATTAATAGTAGTTTCCTGTAATTATTGTTTTCCCGATTTAACGTGTGACGGTGTGAGATATCTCACGTATTTTTGCAAGGATTCTATTTCGATTAGAATAAAATTAAGAATTGGAAAACAAATTCTCATTTATCATAGTGGTTTTTAAACTAGGTCAAGGTGCCCAGTGAGATCAATGAACCAGCCAATCAGCCCCTGGTCGATTTGATAATAGTTCTGGAGATTGATCGAATAAAATTTTATATATTTTATCTCATTAATAAGCCTGGAAGGATGATAGTATTGGTGATGTTTTATATATGAAAATTAATATATTTTTTATTTTAATAATATCATTACTTTCAAGATTATATATGAATATTTTTTATTTTTTAATTAAATTATATTATTTTTTCTGTGCTGCATAGGTTTTATCTTATTAGAAGCAATCATCTTCGAGACATTAAGAGGGTGTGTGGCATTCTCAAAACCACGGTTTCAGAAGTACTTTTCCGCAAAACGAGGTAACCTCCTCTACATATTTACTTCGTAATCCGTAAAAACACTTCTGAAACCATGGTTTGGTTTCTATCCAAACACCCCCTAAATGTAAACACTCCTTCCAATAAGAATTTGAACCTTGACTTATCATATTATGAAATACCAATACCCTTCCATTGGACCAAACCTCGTTGATAATTGTATTAGTTTAATTATAAGTGATTTTATCCTAGTATAATTCTAGTCGGAGTACAAACTCTTGAAGCATCGTTTCAGCTACATAAATAATCTCTCTGGATGGACTTTCATTTAACTCATTTTAAATAATTGGTTTTTCTAATAACAGAAATAATTGGTTTTCATATTATGCATAGTCAAGGATACTGAGACACAGGTTATGCGTGATCCACTATACAAGACGGCGTGAAGAATTTTGGGGAGCACCTTTCTGGTGAGAACAGCGAGAAGGAATGAGAACTGTTTCCCACTTTCCTTGCACTGTTTCGAAGATGCCAAACGCCGAACAAATTGGAAGGAAAAGGTACTTGAAACACTCCATATTTGATATAAATTTATTTTAAAAGTTTTGAGTCATAAGTACTAAGTACCTGAGTTTTTTTGGGGAGATAAGTATGTCTTCAAAGTTTAAAAATATGACAAATTTACTCTTAAAGTTAAAAATATTAATAATTAATGTCACTATTTTAACTGTTATTGTTGGTTTTTTAATAATAAAAGGTAAAATTGTTACGATTTCAAATTTTTAGGACAAATTTGTAACAACAAAAAATTTTCTCATGGCCAGCTTTTCGGAGTGAAAACTTCCACGGTAAATATGCACCTTAACTTTTTTAAATATATAATCCCTTAGATACTTATTATAAGTTTCAAATAATTAATTTATAAATAATGAACAGTTAATTAAAATTAGTTAAAAGTAATAAATACGATAAAAATATATTTTTATTTTTAAATATGCCTATATAATAAATGATAAAAATAATAAAAAGGAATATGTGGTGAAATATGACAAAAAAAGAGTATGAAAAATAAAAGAGAATAAATAATTAAAAATAAAATTAAAAAAATGCATTAAATATACAAATTCAAATTAAAGTTTATAAACAAAATTAGAGGGGGGGTGTTAAAAAACAAGGATTGGAGGGAGACAGGGAGCATTAAGGGTCCATTTGGCAAGGCTTAATTTGGGCTTAAAAGATGTTTTTTTTACTTATAAGCCCGATTGGCTGAAAGGTTGTGTTTGGCTGGGCTTAAAAAAAAAAAGCAACTTATATACTTTAAGCTCCAAAACGTGCGGTCTGTCTTAAGCTGAATTTTGTGGCTTATTTCCTTACCGTAGGAGCTTATTTTTTTTACCGTTGAATAGAGGGGGTCATTTTCACGCTGGGGCCTCTGTCATTTTTCGTTTGGCTGGTGAAGCTTTTTGCGAAGGCAAGGATCTAGGGCGCCTGGTTTCCCGAGAGCATCCGTAAGCCATATGGCCTGGCCCCACAACGTTTGAATAATGCTAATAATTAAGAAAACATCGTGCTTAACTTTTCGTTTGGAAAAATAGAAAATAAAAACCCCTAATATAAAAAATTATAATTTAGAATTTTTAATTTAAAAAATAGTAAATAAAGACCTGATTTTATATTATAAGTATAAAATTTTGATTAAATATCTGAAATACTTCTCAGACTATAGGAAATGACAAATTCAATTTAGCAATATAGGATTAAATTTTTATTTGTTATTTTTCAAGTTGAGAATATCAAATCGTAATTTTATATATTAATGGGTTTTTGTTTACTATTTTCTTTTTTTGTTTTACCCTTTTTTGCTTCTTTTTTATTTTTAATATTTTGCCCCCAAGGCACGAAAACAACCTGCATTCTCAGCCGAAAGAAAAAATCTTTGACTTGCTAAATTATTTTTTTCCCATTTTTTATTATTTATTAAAACTCATATCCATTTTGGTCATTTTACAACTAAACTTACTTTTACTCAATCATAATCCAAACAACTTTTCACCAATCTCACTTTTGCAAACGGGCTTTTCTGAACTCCAATCCAAACACAATTCAGCTTATCCAATTTAGCTTTTATCCCACTTCACTTATCCATAAGCTGCTTTTTCAATAAGCAGCTTTTCCAATCGCTCATCCAAACGGGCACTAAATCTTGCGGTGTTGGTGCAGGCAGTAGAGTTTGCACTGTCAAACAAAAAATGATATATTATCCTGAGTCCTTAATATAAAAGTTCGTTAACTAATTTAAATAAATTAAAGAAGTTAGTTATTTGTAATAAATATGTGTTATCTTTCTTAAAATATCCTTGCCAATCAAATGGAGTAGTTAAAATTATCATTATTACAAGGGCTATCTTGAATTGGTATCTTATATTTATAACCAAAATAAAAATCAAACAAATTTAAGATCAAAGATAGTATTATAAAAAAAATCATGATTTCACATGGTTGTGTACTTGTGCTTGATATATTGTAAATTAAAAGAATATTTGATAAAATATCCTATTCCCATAATCTAAAATTATATATCATATAGAGTTTGTGAAAAAAGAAATAATCTTGTTGATTTGAAATGGTGCAAATGGTCAATGACTTTATTCCTTTTGCATGACTATTTAAAATATATATTCTCAAACAGGCTTATCTTATTAAATAATATTTTATTCAAGAATTCTATCTTGACCGGGCTTATCTCAAACAGTGCAAACTCTACTGACTGGTGCAGGCAGTAGAGTTTGCACTGTCAAACAAAAAATGATATATTATCCTGAGTCCTTAATATAAAAGTTCGTTAACTAATTTAAATAAATTAAAGAAGTTAGTTATTTGTAATAAATATGTGTTATCTTTCTTAAAATATCCTTGCCAATCAAATGGATTGGTTAAAATTATCATTATTACAAGGGCTATCTTGAATTGGTATCTTATATTTATAATCAAAATAAAAATCAAACAAATTTAAGATCAAAGATAGTATTATAAAAAAA